CAATCACTTCATCTATATACTTGCTTAGCTTCCAGACCTAAGTGACGTTCAAGATTATTTCTTTACAACATATATGATGCTTAGCTCCATGACCTAAGTTCATTCATCTATCGTGTCACATGATGTAATTGTCCTTAGCCTCCTGGCCTAAGAACATGCATCATGCATACATTATCTTCAAGAAAAGCAATTCAATCCATGCGATTCATTTCGTCTTGCTCAACGAGGAATTTCAAAACTTCTTCTCTTTTTCATGTCTTTTCTTTTGGGGAAGTTTAAAAACTTTTTCAAAATTTTATCATCGAGGGAAGTTCGAAAATAAAAGTTCAGTTTTCACGTCTTTCTTTTTCGGGAGAAAGTCGGTACCCTCCACTCGTCTCATGACAAAAATGACGGAAAATATTTTCTTTTGTATTTACTGTTGCTTGTGTCTGCACACACACACCATATATACACCCAACCACAAGTCATACACATGTCAAGTCAAACTTAGTCAAGTCAGTTGGTCAATTCAATCACAATATATACGAGTCCCTTGGCAAATTTATCTTTGCAGGTCTAATTTACATCCCACGTTCGGGGACATGCAAACCATTTACAGCCCACTTTCGGGGACAATCGAACCAACTACATCCCACGTTCGGGGACAAGCGAACCATTTACAGCCCACGTTCGGGGACAAGCGAACCATCTACAGCCCACGTTCAGGGACAAGCGAACCATCTACAGCCCACGTTCGGGGACAAGCGAACCCATTACAACCCACGTTTGGGGACAAGCGAATCAACTACAGCCCACGTCCGGGTCAAGTAGACCATTTGCAACCTACATTCGGGGACAAGCAAACCATCTATAGCCAACGTTCGGGGACAAGCGAACCATCATCATTTTGGTGATCATCTCCCAAGCAAAGACGATTCACGGGGCAAGGTTCTCGATACACAGGGACTTGCAATCTCATCATTAGACAAGTTTTTCCTCAAGCATGGAAAATTGTCGATCGTTGCCACCTCTGTAGACGAAAAAGTCATCGATTATATCATCTGTCGACTTTCCTCAAGTATGGAAAGTATCATCCGGTATATTTCTTCAAGCATAGAAATCTACCAAACTCATGAGTCGACTTTCCTCAGGCATGGAAAGTATCTCAATGAAACGTCATCCAATGGGTTCCTTCAAGCATAGGAAGCTACCAAACTCATTTGTCACTGATACACTGGTGTCAGATACGCATTCTATCCCTTTACTCTTTTATATGTAGAATTAACATTTTTCTGCAGGTATCGGCATATACAGAGTGATTTAAGATCAGAGAGAACGGCTAAAATCCTTCTCCGTCTGTATCGACTACTTTGACTATCGTTTTCAAAACTGACGTTTCTACAAACTCAGTCAAAGTGGGGGCTTCTGTAGACACCTAAAAATTCTCCCCAAAACCAGACCCAATGATGAACAACCTTTCACCACAATTATTGGTTGGGTTGAGTATTTAATCTTTGGAGTTCTTAAATCCATGTTTTCATTCAATACATTTCATAAACCAATCCAACTCATAGCTCATTAACTTACTTTTCACTTTTCGTGTCCACATCACAAAACCGAGAGAAAATGATTTTGTGACCCTAAAATTTTGATCCAATTATTATTTGGTTGGATAGGAATTGAAATAATCTTTCCAACAATATATCATAAGCCCAATTCCGATTTATAACGAAGAAGATATGAGCAAAATACTAAACTCGGCCCAAAATCAACACCCTTCTTTTAAAACGGCCATATCTTAAAATATACAAATTCTTTTGACCTGATTCTAATTGCGTTGGAAATTAGACTTTTAAGATTTCCAACGATATATTATATGCCTTATTCCGAGTTACGGATCAAAAGTTATCATAATTTTAATAACGCGTAAAAAACTAGAATTGATGCGCAACAGCAAGATTGTCGCGTCGCGACAATATCTCACATGGCACGGAAGTTAGTACCGTGTCACGACAATCTATACCGTGTCGCGGTACACATACCGTGACACGGTGCTTTTCCGTGTCATTTTCGCATTTTTCTCACGCGCTTTTTTGCCATGACACATTGTATTGTATTGTGCCACGGTGGACACTGTCGCGTTGCGGTGCCCTGTGCTGTGTCACGGAATTTTTTCGTGTTTTCTCCGCGTAAAACATGCACACGTTTTATTTTTTTAGGGCAGTTATTTTGCCGTGTCGCGGCAACCTCTGCCGTGTCACGGTGCCCAAAAACTAAAGTTTTTATCTTTTCTAGGGTTCTGTGTGATCCCCTACTCATTTCCTCTATAAATACCCCCCTCTTTTCTGCAGTTTGGGGCACAAAATCATTCTCTCCTCCTCTCCTCTACACTTGAAGTTATTCTCTTCTCTCTCTCTCTCATACTCAAAGCCTTAAACCTATATTTCTAATTACATCATTTCTTCTTTAAGCACTCCAAGGAGTCCATACTTAACCCGATGTTCCGTCCTTAAACCAAAGCGTGAAAGGTATAATTAATTGAGGGTTTGGACTAAATCAACTCTACTTTTTATTTAATTTGATTTATATTTATTGAAGTTACTAAAATTTTATTCATGATGTAGCAATTGAAGGAAACGCGGAAAGTGAGTAATTAGTCACTTAATTACTAATTACTCTTATTTTTATTCTTATTGCTAGTATCATGATTAGGTTTATTTATATTTGATTTGACCAACAATTTATTGTTGAATTGCTTTCAATATTAATGTTTGTATTATTATTATTTTTTATCACCATATTGCATGTTTAAAGGGAATATGTAATTGAAAATCACGCCTAATAAAATAATTTGGACAACCGGTTTAGGTTCGTTTTTAATCTTGTTATTAATTCAAGTGATCACTAATATTTTAGAATTATATGTTGCATTAATATTCAACCAATTGAGCTTAATAATAGTTTGGAGCAAATTAAATCTTTGTTTGCATGCCTTTGAGGTTGCAGGAATCACATTTCACAATAATAATTGAGTAGAGGCCAATACGGGCGAATGTGACTCCATAACTCACTTCGTACCATCATCCCCGATCCTCCTTTCGTGGTTCCGAACCATATGGAGTTAGTAATATCATGGATTATGAATGGGGTGTATCCTTTACGGGTCAATCGTTGTTGCCTTTCATTGTCCCTTAATCGTAGTTGCCTTTTATGATCCGTGAACGATTTACAAGTTCCTTAAAAAACTTGTCGGCGGCTCCCTACTTTGCTTTGTCCCTAATCGTTTTTCCTAATCGTAATGTCAATTCTCACTTCCTATGAGTGCCAAGCATATTCACACATCCTTTAACGTAGGCGCACTTCAAACGACACCTACACCATCCCCACCACTCAAAATCGTCATCACTCAGCCCACCACCTCAAAATCTTCCCCTTCCCCTAGCCACGAAAACCCCACCCTTCAAAAGAGGCATTTCAAGGCCGGGATGGGGAGATGAGGGTATTCTGGTAAGGAAAAGGGAGCGATGAGTGATATTTATGTCACACCTAGGCTAGGTTTAAGGTTTAATCTTTTCTAGTTCAATAATACGGAGTACTATTGTGGCTTTCCGTTTGTCCGATGAAAGATATATGTGTTTATAGTTGTTTTCAATGAATTATGATATATTCTTTCGTCATTCCCTCTATTCTGTAATCTTTGTTTGCAGGTACCTTGCCCTTCCGGAGCACATAGAAGATGGCACAAAGGCTAAGGTAAAAAGAGAAGATTGGAAGGAAAGGCTTCATGCATGGAGTTCGACCGAACTAGCTTGGAGTACGACCGAATCAAGAGGTTTGATCGAACTATTGAAAAGTTCGGTCGCGAGGTTCGGCCGAACATTTGAATAGTTCGGTCGAACGTGGCACAGGGAGGGAACCTACCCTCAGTTTGCCTGATTATAACTTTATTTTGTACAAGCTATATGAGCCTTGAGTTAAGACGTTTTTAATACAACTTTTAGCTTAGCTTAGCTTAACCTAGGGTTCTTAGCTTAATTCTAGAGAGAGAAAACACTTAAACTCATGATTTTGGATGATTTGCAATCAACTCTTTTAAAGATTAATGAAGCTCCTTTAGTAATTTCTTCCCTTGAACTCTTTATTTGCTTTCTTTTAACTCTTTACTTACTTGCTTTATTTCTCTTTTTTGCTTGTTAATCAAGTTGATGCTTGTTAATTTGTTTGATTTATCTTGTTATTAGCATGATTGGTGAGTAGTTACCCAACTAAGAAAATGGTGATAGGTTAGCCTAATCTTGAGCATGTAAGGGGATTGGGATTAAGGGCTGATTAGTGATTTAAGTCTTTGTTTTCATGATTTTACCCATTATCTCTATTGAGTGCCCAATCAGTGGTTGTAGCTGGGCGAGTTGACCTTGATTAAGACGATAATGTGATTAAGTGATGCTCATTAGATGATTCATTACCTCATTTCATGCATGATTATGACGACAATGTGATTTTATATGCTTGGGAAAGTAATTGCTCCTGACAGAGTAGACCATGCCTTTAATCATCTTTCATGTATAGCTTAGTTTTGCTTGATTCCCAAATCCTTTCCCTTGATGTTTCTTGAGTGACAATTTGCCTCGAACCATTTCCTTATTGCTTGTCGCATTTGATTTCTTCCCTAGTTTAATCGCAGTTTGTTAAGTGTTCGATCTTTCATTCAACTTGTCCAGCTAGATTAATTGGTGATAGTGTTTGTAGTGCTTAGTGTCTCCCTTGGGTTCAACCCTTTGCTTACCTTTATGCATTTTAGTTTTGCTTGAGAATATAAATTGTTTTAATTTAGTGGTTTGCATATAACGTGTTTATCCCTTATCACAATTTTTTTTTTAGCATTTTATTTTTTTTTAGCTTTTTTGTGATTATATATCGATCCTACCGCCTCATCATCAATCTAAAGCGGGATCTCGATCTTGACAACCTTGTTCCTTCTAATACCAAACAGCCGTAAGGGGCTGTAGACAAGGCAATGGAACGTTAATACAGATTTTTCTATTAAATTAAAAACAATTGCTAACATAATGCACATATATACCTCACAGTAACCCAAAGGTAACACAATACATTGATACACATTTCTCTTTCGGATTTTCTTTAAAAAATTGTACATTAGAAAGCATTCCGAAAAAGAGGTTTAAAATAATATTACAAGCTCATAAATCTGCACTCGAACTGCAAATCACTTTCTGGCGATTCAACCTTTATCTCATTTTTCTTCTGCAAGCAACAAAAGTTTTCAATGATCAAGCTCTGATAAAACTTGATAGTAAAGACGGACAAATCTTTATACCCTAACTACAGTAAGTTGAATCACATAAAACCATCCCAGCTAACTGTACTAAGTACTCTGTTATTCTCTAGTAGCTTCATGTAGTAGAATTACATACAGACCAAGGCAAAGGGTGGACAAGGAGATTATTGGGCAATGTCAGGAAAAAAGATTAGTGTGAGTGGTTTAATGTATTTAGTGGGGTAGGAGGGGATATAAGGCTTGCAATAGGAAAAAAACAAAAATTTTGAATGAACAAAAAATGAACCCACCCAAATAATTAATTAAGTGAAACCCAAGGATTTATTTAGTGTAAGAGTAAAAGAATTACCATCGGATCACTGGATTTAGTTTCTTGCTGAAAGTGTTTTAATGTATGGTCTCCACGCAAAATTTTGGCTCCCAAACCTGTATCATCAACTGATCCAACAGCTTCTGCATCCACCACAACTGCATCTACTCGATCAGTTCCTGTTTTGGCATCTGGAACCTGCAGAAGCAGAAGCAAACACCGTGTTATAGCACTGTTCTGTCACGGAATACATGAAACGAAATTCTCCTATGCAGTTCCTATAGGAAGATTGCCACAAAAAATAAAGTTCCAAGATCTTCAAATTCCTACTGGGGTTAAAACAAAATACCTCAAACATAGCATCAGTTAAAATGGTCTCCAATATTGATCTTAAGCCACGCGCACCAGTATTTTTCGCCATTGCTTTTCTTGCAATTAATTTCAAAGCTTTTTCTGTAACATGAAATTTGACCTGCATCACTTGAAAGGTCAAAAAAACAAGTATAATAAATTATAACTAAATGTGATGGGAGCAGACTGAGCAGTATAAGCAAGATAAAACAGCCAACTTACATCATTCATGCCAAACATCTTTTTGTATTGTTTACCAAGTGCATTTCTCGGCTGCATGAGGACCTGGAAGACACCCAAAAGAACAAAGGTCACCTATAAACCACATTTTTGGAGGGTGGAAGCTACATACTTTGAGCGGGGAAAAGACAGACACTAGCATTATACTACGATTATATGGCTGTCCTATTGACATGAGTTTATCACCTTCAGTTTCTTAATTAATTGCATTTTATTGCAACGTACTATACAAGATTGCACACTGCTGATGATATAATTAATCAATATCAAGGAGAATACTGTACTATACAAAAGACTGACCCATGCCCATTGAGTTTCATTCCCAGTATATCACCCACTTTACCCCTTGAGTTAGAATATGAGACCTACAAGGAGAATACTAGAAATCCGCAAATCTAAAAACTAATAAGATCCTGACACAAAAATAAGATTTCAAACGGCTTTAAAGCATTATAATATAAATAACTCAAGCGAGTTTAGCGAGACTCGAGAGCCTGATTGCAAAAGTTAGTTATGATGACACAAGTCTTTTATTGTTGTAAAAAAGGGCAAAGAGCATAGCTTTAACAAACAAGAGAATATGAGAATTCTGCAGTTACTATTGTAAAAAATTCGGGTCTCAAAATCGCAACAAAAGTTGAGAGCTCAAATATAAACTTTAGTATAATTATTTTTTATTAAACAATTACATGTATTTGAATTCTATTATTTCTGGTATACCTTGTAATATTATACTATTGATACAAGTAAACTACTCAGTTTTACAGCTATTTCTAGTAATGAAATTTATTTGTCGGAAAATGGCTGTAAAAAATTACCAACTATCACTGATATGTGCTATACAACACAATATCTATTGTAAATAACACCAACTTTCAATCATTGTGCACTAAACGATATGCAGTTGCCAAAGTATAAATTAAACGAATATATTCTGATTGGTATAACAAAAATATATATTTAAATCTAATCAAAACGTAGATTATCTAACAGTACTTATATTGACTATATATGTTAATTAACAAACAAAAATCAATTTAAAGCCAACTTAAGTGTTAATTAAATCCCAAAAAGTTAATTAAATCAAACAAAAATTGTTAATTAAAGTTGTTAATTAGCTACCAAAATTAATTTACTTGAGCTTGATTAACAGTAAAGCTTGTTATAAAATTATTCTACTTATTTTTTTTAATAATGACTATCATGTCAGTATATTCCATTTATGTTCCCTCTCCAGGCGCCGGCATATCATTAAACACACAACGATTGAAAGTTGATATTACTTGCAGTAAATTCTCAAGGTCGTGTTATTTAAACTCCTCAAAGAATGTTTAACTGAATATAGAGTTATTGTCATACTTCATGACTTTGGATATGAATTGATTTTATAGTACTCATCTGCATAAGATAATTAACAGATGAAATCGAAAGGTAAATAATCCAACATCCAATATGCATAAGCCATAACAGATTGGTTCTAACCATATGCAAGCAAACGACTCTCTCAAAAGAGAAGCACACGATAGCTTTTATAGGTTATCAAAAGCATTTTGGTAACCAGAGGAGGGGTTGAAAGAGATATGGACCAAGTTCGTGAAAACATTTTGAGTAGGAATTAGGTAGATCAACTACAAGAAAGCTGAAACCAACCTGGACGAGTTGATCCTCATTCAATGCTGACAAACTCACTAAAATTGGAAATCTGCCGACAAATTCTGGTATGAGACCATATGCAATAAGATCACTGCTTTCTACCTGCATATCAACAGCAACTTGAAGGTTAAGTCAATGGTCTAAGCTACACACATAGACAAAAAAATTTAAGGGACAAATTTGGAAGTATGCTTAAGATTTGGTTATCACAATTTCTAATAATGAAGATGCAACCACAGCATCAGTCGTCCTGCCAGATCTCATGTTAGCACGAACTGGTGCTCCAAAACCAATCGACGAATCATGACGCCTGACAAAACAAAAATAGTAATTACTCTAAAAAATACTAAACACCAAATAGAGCAGTTTGTAGGAAGACTAGGTAAGTTGGGTAGCAATTTGAAGAAAGAAATAAAATTAACAAAACCATAAAATACACACCTTTCAGAAATAGTTTTTTCCAGATCAACAAATGCTCCACCACATATGAACAAAATATCTTTTGTATTGATCTGTTAAGTATCAAACAAATATTAAATGAGAACAGAACACTTTATCAGTTAATCCCTTTCACATTTTAATTCACAAGATGCCATGAGTGTTCAGTTGCTTATGTTTTCCTAACCTGACTACCATTACTTCACCTCAGCTCCATAATACGTGTACTACTTAATTACCCAACCTATCATCAAGGTTATATTACTTATAGATGTCTTGACTAAGCAAAGAACAAACTAAACATTTCTTGCCATGTCACATGAGTTGAATCCAACTTTCTGTCAGCTGAAGTCCACTTTCTATCCTCTATTTCTTATAATTTCTTGGAGTAGCTAATTGCCCTTCTTATTATTACTCAACAGCTCACTACTGCCAACATTTATAACCTGGCAGGCTGAGAATAGCACCTCTGGTTTCATCCCAGCAGCCCACTCCAAAGCTTGCATTATCTACCCACGGGCTACTGTGGTGTCTGCTGCCACTGCACATTCCTCCCACAACAGTCATCAACCGGCCTCCCAATAGCCACCACATGGCTTCGCCCCAAACCCACGACCCCCTCACTTCTTTGGGCAAGTCTATACTACTATGCTAGGCGCATGACTACTGCCTCTATGCTTGCACCTAATGTCGTTCTTCCAGTGGCGTATCCAGGGATACAGAAGCGTGGGTTCGGAATCATTAAAAAAATATACAAGTCCTCCATTTTTTTTTTTAATTGCAACGTTGGTGATTTTACGCTTGCTGCTAATGCTCATTCTATAACTAAAATGTTTTAGGGTTTTTCTAAGCTATGCCCCTAAGGTAGTTGAGTTTCTAAGGTGTACCCATGCTTTTTAAAATTTCTAAGTTGTGCCCCTCAACTCACTACCATTAATGAATGGTACCCTCCTTGGGACTTCCACGTCACCTAAAGTTAACTATAAATTTAATAAAAAGATGATAAAAGGTAAGGAAATGATACGAGAAAGAAATCTTAACCACAACCCTAATAACGAAAACTAAAGCCACGAAATCACACTCTCAATTAACTTTTAAATAACTAATAAAGGTATATTTTAGTATTGATAAGAAGTTGAAGGGCACGGCTTAGAAACACTTGAAAAAGCATGGGTACACCTTAGAAACTCAACTACCTTAAGGGTATAGCTTAGAAAAACCCAATATTTTAAGTTATGTTTTTGTAAAAATTATGAAAAGTTGATATCAAAAAAAATATTTTTCCGAGGCGAATTTAACAAAATCACACTAAACTAAATAATTTTTTCTAACATATGATAACAACAAACGATCAAAAGGAGTGTGTACAAACTAAATGTTGCAATTAAAAATGGACGTAGGAACTAGAAAGTATAAATTAAATTTTAATAGATACATTCAAATCCGGATTACAACGGATACCATATAACTTAATACAATGTAATACCCTTAAAAAAAAAAGGGGGGGATTCTGCATGCAAAAACATTTGGGTTAAGAAATAAATCATTCGAGTTTTCATACGCTTTGGAGAAGAAAGTTAGGGTAATTGGGTTTGATGTTTTAAGTCTTTAAAAAGATATTGGGACTTTAGAGAAGTAGTTGAAACAAAATGGGGAAAATATTAAAAAGGCTAAAAAGTAATGGGAGTTTAGAGAAGTAGTTGGAGCAAAAAGGGAAAAAAAAAAAATTATATATATATATTTGACGGGAACAAAAAAGGGAAAATATATTAAAAAAAGGCTATAATATATAGAGATTTTAGAGAAATAATTGGAAGCAAAGGGGAAAAAAATACTCCAATAAAAAGGCCAAAAAAATTAGATCACTTGGAGTCTAACCGTTAACTTTGGGGAATAAAGAGGCGCACAATTGATAACATCACACCACTAGGCCACGCTGCATTCACCATACTAATCATGCAGGCAAAATTATATACATCATTTTTTCGTTTTTTTTTTAAATAAATAAATAAATAAATAAATAAAAAAAAAAAACCTTTTTTTTTTCCAAAAAACCAGTGGGTTCAATGAACTCATCCTAAATAAGCCCCTGCATTCTTCCCACTATCCCTCTCCTCCCAACAACACTATTAGGAGTCAATATGGCATCTACAAGTAAACACCATCTTAATCTTTGCATCATATCTACTGCCACTACTACACCCTATTCTCATGCTCAAGCCATATAGGAACCAATTTGGAATGTAGCCGTGCAAATGAACTTAATGTTAGACAGCAATTGGAAGTTGGTGCCTTGCCATCATTTCTTGTGGTTGTTTAATAGCAAATTTAACAAGGCAATTTTGGCACAATGCACAACTATGGTAAAACTCAGCACATTGGTGTTGATTACTTTGTAATGTTTCGTCTGGTGGTGGTGAAGCCAGCAACAATTCGTACGATGCTAATTCTTGTTCTTACTCACTTATATCTTGCATTAATTGGTTGTAAAAAATTTAATTTCCTTTATGAGTGTACAGTATAGCATATAAGCAACAACTTTCTCCAGGTTTTGCTAGTCTAAATTTTCCAACTCATCTATTTTGCCGGAAAATGTTTATTAGAATGAGGCATGCTTAGCACCATCTGCTGGCTGCATTACTCAATAAAATGGAATTATTTATTCATCTACAAAAAAGGCAGTGAGTTTGCTCATCTTAATCTATGTTCGTTGGGCTTCAATCACAGACTCAACGCTGAATTCCCTAAGACAGATTTAGGGAAACTTTCTTGGTATTATAACAGTACCATATATGAGTTTAATGAATTAATTCAGTATTGCATCTATTTTTGAAAGGAGATTGATGGACTAGAAATAGTCCTAAGATTTTGACCACTTCTGTTTTTATTTGAAAATATAGTGGATTATATGGTTTAGAAGTTCCAAAAGAGGTGTTACACATAGCAAAAGGGCATATGGCAACAAAAACATGTCTGATCAACCAAGTTTTCTTATGCTTAAATTCATTAAATGGCTATGTCATATTGTCATTGTATGGACATGCTTGAGATACAATGAATCCTATGGGAAGTATAAAATTACAATAATAGTGCTGTCTTGATGTGCAATGTGAATAAAAAAAGTATTTTAAGCCGGGACTTGAGAGAATGCTAAAGCTAGTAAAACAAAAAAAAACGCCTCACATGGCCATATATATGTTGCATTTACATTACAAAGATAGTGATTGAAAAAAAATAGATGAAAAAATAGATTGATGAAAAAAAATAAACAGAAATAATTTTCATTGGCTAGAGTTTTTATTCCCCAAAGTCTAAAAGTATGGTTTGCTATCACCAATAAATACAAAGGGTTCTATGCAATGGCCATTATTAACACAGGTCCATTGGAGGCATACCTCATAAAGAAAGGCTATATAGCCTATAAGATATCCCATAATAAAGAAGAATGCAATAGCCTTCTAGGCTTCTACAAACTAGCTCTAATGTAAGCAGGCCAAATTCATCTTTAAAACAGAACATTGTTCATTTGTTCTATCAGCCATTGCAAACATTTTTTGCAAGAGTTATACATCATCTGCAACTTGAAAGAAAGCTCAACTGATTGAACTTGATGGTCTCCCATGTAATTAAAACAAGGCTGTTAGGTTAAATGTCGTTCGTTCAGTAACAAATTCATTATTTGCCCAACTGCAAAATGTCATTCTGTAGCGTTTGATTCAAAATCACACACGACATCCTTTATGTACCCTTATTTTCTACGGCTCAACCCCATAACTGTTGTTTTAGTGAATCTACTGGCACAGAAATTATTCGGGTGGTTACCACAGCAAAAATTTAGCCAGAAGGATTAATTACAGAAATGTTCAACATGGAATGAGAAATCATAGGCCCGTGGAATTAAAATTACGCTAAACAATAGGCAACACAGGAACACAAGCGTGGAAAACATGTTATAGAGCTGACAACAACACAAATAAACAGCAAACGTTAAAATTGTGTTTTACCTGTATGCTATCACCACGGGGATTCTTCCGAGCACCCTTGTCCTGAACATTTACTATCTAACAAAGAAGATAGATTCAACAATCAAACTAACAAGATAATTCTCATTCAAAATCCATGCAGCGGACCAGGGGCAGGACATGTGAATGTAGACAGCAGCAGCATACAAAGATGAACAAAACCACTAGTGAAATCAAGCAGGTGGCAATTATTAACAGCTGATAATAAATTGTATATGCAATACCTTCTCAGAGAAAACAGATTGATTTGACATTAAGCTCCAACAATAATATCCCCATTGAATAACATATTAAGTTTCAGCCATAATTAATATGCTTAGCAGATGATTTCAACATATATATTAACATATCACTGCAGGAAAGACAGTTTCAGACATTTAGCCCACGCAGACAAGAAAAAGCACAAATCCACCCATGCAAAAGTTTCATATCTAGTTGATATAATCAAAATAATAATATGGCACCAGGGGTCATGACCAAACCAGCCAACATGTGAAATTTAAATCAAGAAACTAGAAGCCAGTATAAGTGAGTCTGTCGTTTTATATGATAACAAAAAACTTACTGTTCCTTCTAACATTTTCAGTAATGCTTGTTGAACACCTTCACCAGATACATCTCTTCCAATGTTTGAGCTCTCAGACTGCAAATATTCAATAGAGAGAAATTCTGCTATTAAGATAACACAAAGGAAGGTATAAAGAGAGAAGACCAGCAGTTCTCTTAAAACCATACAGATAAAGAAATAGCACTCAATCTTCGTTTAAAAAAAAACTGAAAAAAGTAGCATGCACATAAGGGAAAAGCAATATATAACTCTGTCCCACCAAGAATATGTTTGTACTTTGTAGACACGAGAATATATTACTTTCCAAGCAATTACCAATATGACCACAAATAAAGCTGATCATAGCAATAGCAAGCATAACTTACTCTGCCCAGAATTTCACAGGAGCTCGAGAATAGTCACAAGAAACACTAATGCAAAAACATCAAAGTAACAAGTGGCAGCATGTCTTTCCACTTACACGCCACAAAAACTATAGGAATCGTCCATGTCTAATCGTTTTCTTCTTTTTTCCATATACAATATGGTTCAATACATAGGTTTCTTGAGAAAACAGGCATGAAGTCATATCTTATAAGGTTTTTTTTTTTTCCCCTGAAACGAGCTCATATATTTCAGACACTATAGTCGGTTTTACTAACTGTCCAAACAAGTGTTTTATAAAGAAATAAGTTTTCTTAGCCTATTTATCATTTCAGCTACAATTGAAATGCATCTTTTTGCCTTTCAATGTTAGTCCCTGAATCTCTAATGATTCATTGACCTTATAGACAAACTTACCAAAACACATTCTTAGTATGATCACACTCAAATGGAGAGGAAAAAAATAAAGAGGTCTCACATTTGCGAATGCCATGATTACAAAAGTTCAACCCTAAAGATGTATATAAAAAATGAGTAATAAAGATGTATCTCAAAATGACACCAAGGTGTCACTGTAGAACAAAAAGAATAAAGCCAAAAATCAGCATACTATCAAGCTATCATGTAATTAGAAGTGAGTACCTTCTTCGTAACCTTATCCACTTCGTCAATGTAGACTATCCCTTGCTGCGCAGCTTCCACATTAAAGTCAGCAGCCTAAAGCCAAATAAGAAGACAAAATAAAAAATGTAAGATCAAAGACAATAACATGATGTACAAGAAGATGGTCTGCTAATACCTTTTTTCTATATAATAAAAATTTATAAAAATAAAAAAATAAAAAAAAAAATTTGCTTGGGTGAAAAAATTCAATACCTACTACAACAAAGGAAATCAGGGGGGAAGAGGGGGGGGAGGCTCATAGTGCTTTCAAGTGTAAAAAATTACAACACATAACATTTATGAATGCTTCCTTTTCTTAATCACTGTCTCTTCTTCCCTCACCCTAGAAAATAGATACAGAGATGGTAAATATTAGGAAAAAAAATGTGTAGACTATAAATACTAACTCCATTCTTTAATTATAACTACAATGTTTTAGCGACCAAACTTCGCAAACTATGACCATACTGTATCAAATAGCACGTAATCATGTTGATCTTGTAAGAATTTAGATATTATTTTAATGTGTCCTTTTGAAATTTCATAATAAATAATACAAATACATGATTAAAGTGTGAACAGTTAGCATACTCTAAAATCAAAGACCAAATCCGGGTATCATCTATTCTTCCCCAAATTTCATTCTCTAAAATTGGAGAACAAATCTGTTCAAACCACAAAAGGAGTGAGTTTCCCATAAAAGGTGCCCAAAACCCAGAAAATAACTTCAAGATATGGAATTTGGTGTCTAATAAGGTCAGGTTGTAATTATGTCATATTATGAGATTGATTATGCAGGTGTTTTGTACTCAAGGGCAACGGATTTTAAATTTGAACTAAGACGCATTATACTTCTTCAGTACTTTAATAATCCCAGCATTTAGACTTCTGCAGTATTCAGATACCACCTACATTATTTTATTTTTTTTATGCACTTAGAAGACTACAAAAGAGAGCAGGTACTGGGGCATGTGAACAAAAACCTAGGGAAGGGTGTTGCAAGTGGGGTTTATGAAAAGAAAAGTAAGAAAGATAGTGTTGTAGCTTGGTTTTGTGTAAGAAAAAGTAGGAATGAGAGTTGCATATGTGCTAAGAAGCAAATCAAGCTTTGCCAAAACAGGAATGGTAAAAATGTAACTTACAAAAACATAGTAAGTATAAATTTGACAATATTTTTGTTAATAGTGTATGAAAAGCAAAAGTTATTATTCTTGCACTGTTTCTTAATACATGCAACAAGTTGACTTTCAATGAGTATATAATAAAGTCAGCTTGTTGCATATATTATAGGAAAAATACACTTTAATAATCCCAACTATTGGCGATTTACCTAGAATAATCCCAACTAAGGTTTATTTTCTAACAGTCCCAACTTTGCCTCTTATTTTCTTTCAGCGGTCCCATTGACCGGTAACTTGTTGAAAAGATAATTTTTTTTAATTTTTTTTATAAATACCACATGTCAACACGTGATTAGTTTAGAATTTATAAAATTAGAAAAAAATTTAGAAAATTCATTAAGAATCTAAAAATAAAAAAAAAACAAAAACAAAAATTTTATAAAAATCAAAAAATTAAAAAATTAAAAAAAAATCAAAAATTAAAAAAAAATCAGAAAATAAAAATACAATCAGAAAATTCATTAAAAAATCAGAAAATTGAAAAAAAAATCAAAAAATATTAAAAAAAACAAGAAAATTAAAAAAAAATCAGAAAAGTAGAAAAAAAAATCAAAAAAAATTAAGAAGTAAAGAAAAAAGATAAATCCCAAAACCCACCCAGCCACCCTCCCACCACACCGTAACCCTAGCCAGCCACCCTCCTTCTCTTTCCCTGCTGGCGGCCAACCCCCATAACCCCCTACAATGGCTGGCCAACACCCACTCATCCAGGAAACCACTCGGCTGGCCCAAAACCACCCCCCGTAACTACCCCCTCGCTATTCCCCGACCAACAAAACCACCCCCTTCCTCTTCCCCGACCCCTAAAACAGCCCCTCCTCTTTTCCCCTACCGCCGAAAATGGGCGGTTTTGATGGTGGGGGAAAGGAGGGGGGTTATTTTGAGGGTCGGGGAAGAGGAGGTGGTGGTTATAGGGGTGGTTTCGGGGGTGGTTTCGGGTCGGCCGGATGGTTTCCGAGCTGGATGGATGTCGGCCGGCCATTTTAGGAGTTTATAGGAGTTGACCGCGGTGTGGAACGGGGAGGGGGTGGCTGGCTAGGGTTACGGGGTGGTGGGAGGGGTGGCTGGGTGGGTTTTGGGTGTTTTTTTTTTTTGTTTCTTTAAATTTTTTTTATAAATATTTTTAATCTTTATTAATTTTTTAAAATTTTTCTAATTGTCTGAATTTTTTTTTTGTAATTTTCGGATTTTTTTTAAATTTTTTTTTTGAATTTCTATTTTTTTTTTGAATTTTCTATTTTTTTTTCTATTTTTAAAAATATTTTTTTTTATTTTTTTTCAATTTTCTGATTTTTTTTTGTATTTTCTAATTTTTTGATTTTTTTTATTTTGGACCAATCTTGTGTTGACATGTGGCATGTGACCTGTTGTAACAGGTTGTTGACCCATAGTTGACCGGTTGGGACCGTTGGAAGAAAATAAGAGGCAAAGTTGGGACTGTTAGAAAATAATCCTTAGTTGGGATTATTTTAAGTAAATCGCCAATAGTTGGGATTATTAAAGTGTATTTTTCCTATATTATATAACAGAGGAAGTATGTACCAATTATTCTTCGGTTTTTTTGGCCTTCAGATTCAATAGACAATATAAGAAAAGCAATAGAATCCCAGTTGACAAGAAAAATCAACAGTGAGCTACAGCCAGCACAACAAACCATTTTTTCTTTCAAAAATGAAAAGGGTGTGTGCAAGAATTATTGGCGTAAATAATTGTAAATCAGAGAACCATGAAGCCATGTAAGCAAAAGAGGAAAAAAAAAAAAAAAAAAAAAAAAAAAACATCATGCAAACATGAATCAAACAGTAAATTGTACTGTATAACAACCTTAATAACAAATCCAGCAAAATGGACAAGTTGTCCGTGACATACCGTTAGTAGCTTAAACAATATTGACTCAACATCTTCCCCAACATAGCCTGCCTGAAATTAAAAAAGAACATTGCTCACGTCAGTGATGCACCGGTGAAATTGTAAAAAGAGAATGTTAGGGACAGTGAACTAGAGGATGACAAAACAGAATGTTGGTGGAAGTGTGGATTGTTGAACTATTATAGAGGGCATCAGGGCCACGCTGACGTGAACTGGAAGTGAAGTGTACTGTTTAGATTTAATATTCGAAGCATGAACCACTATAAAACAGGAACCAGCTTCATCTCCAAATTATCTCAACAGACAAAGAAATGAAAGATACTATGTCCCACGTAAAGGAAGCTCTTACAACATAAGGGAATGTCCTAAAGTATAATTGTTGTCCAGTTTCCATTGTATATGATTCATCTGTAACCCCCCACAGACCACCTTCGCAGGTAACAATAAAAAAAGAAAGCAACTAGAAGTCAAGCCTGACTTTATTTTTGCAATCTAAAAATGAATTAGTGAAATCAGGCTTAAAGTAAAGCCCGGCATCCCTAGTCTCCCTCATCTTGCAATCATATTCCAAGTTCGAGAATAAACCCATATGGACTTATATGCTACCGCATCACATACTCCTATGATAATCGGACTCTTTCATTTACCTCACGCGTCCGTGTCGACACGACTCGTGTCGGACACCGACACCGACACTTGGACACTTCATTTTTAACTAAAAACACAACTTTTTTCAAGAAAATAGGCGAGTCCGATGCTTGGACACCCGTGTCTAATTTGATACTTCATCCGAGTCCAAGTAACATAGACATACTCACCAATTTCATAAGATTAACATAAACATACTCACCAATTTCATAAGATTAATACGAGTATCAACTAACAATACACCACTACTAGTAACAATCAGATTGTATAAACCACTTACTTGAGTTAATGTTGTTGCATCTGCAATAACAAATGGCACATTCACCAAGCGAGCCATTGTTTTTGCGAGTAATGTCTTCCCTGTCCTTACAGCCAACATCAGTGCAAACATATCAGAACAAACTTGTTCATCAATCATCACTCGAAGGGAGAAGTAAGCTTTAAGATGGACGCTAGACCTGGCAATCCTGACCCAGACCCGATGACCCGACCCGACCTATGACTCAAAATCGACCCGAAACAGTGACCCGAAATTGACCCAAAACCCGAATCAACCCGACCCAACCCATACCCGACTCGAAGTGGAATTGACCCGAACCCGAAATGACCCGACCCGAAGTTGACCCAAGACCCGAAACGACCCGACCCGAAATTACCCAAGACCTGAAGTTAACCCGATACCCAAAGTGACCCAACCTTTGACTTGAATTAATTAACCCAAATAGACTCGAAACCGAAAGTGACCCACACCAAAATTATCTTATACCTTAAATGACCTGAATCTATTTAAGCTAAAGACTAGCTGAGCAAACCGAAATAGAAAAAAACCGCAATCAAAATGACTTAATTTTTTTTTACTAATTTGTAATGTGTAACCGTGTAAGTAATTTACAAATTTTGAGTATTACTTTTCTCGATTTATTCGGTCTTTTATCTCAATAAGTTATTAGAAATTTGTAAAAAGATTGAAATTTAATGACTATTCTACGGAGTTTGTCCATAAGATTAAAAAAATTAACTAAAGCTCGAAATAAAAGTCACAATTCTCACAAGTCTAGAAAAAAAAATTGTACAAAAATAATGAGTACGCAACATAATGTTCAATACCAAATGAAATTACAAAATAATCTAAAGTCAAACAATTATTGTATTCCATTAAAAAAGTAGCCTTAATAAATATAGTGAGTTTCTCGTCGAAAAATATATAAACATATATACAGAGTTGAATTTAACCCATTGCATCGACATGAATATGACCCGCCTGAAGTTAACCCGACCCAAACTCGACCCGAAATGTTAACCCGAAACCCGACCCAAACTTGAACCGACCCAAACTCGACCCGAAATGTTGACCCGAAATCCGACCCGACCCAATTATCACACCAGAAACCCGAACTTGACCCGATAACTTTTTGACCCGAAATGACCCGAACCAGACCCAACCCCAATGACCCATTTGCCAGGTCTTATTGGACACTATCTACAGATCAAAGGCAGTCCATACCACAACCAGTTGGACCCATCAATAGGACATTGCTTTTCTCCAATTCAACAAGATCAAAGTCATCTTGTTTCACCTCATTGCCATCTACATCTGTACCTGACCTACCATTTCAACTACAAAATATAAGAACCTCAAGGAATCAGAGGTACAAGCATAAAAGCATAAATTTAATTAAAAAATGTGTCAAGAAGACAAACTGATTTTGCTCAGAAGTGTAATATATTCTCTTGTAATGGTTGTAGACTGCCACTGAAAGTACCTGCACTCAAACAATATCATCAGAAGAAAAACAGCTGTAGTAAAATTCAAAATATTAAGCAGTTGATAAAATATGCCTCAAACAAAAATCATTAACAAACTAGGATAAAATTGGCACACTTTTTAATAATAAAAGGGAAAAAGTTGATGGGTGAGTGACCCAAAAAAAAGAAAAAGAAAAAAAAAAAACTTACCGTAAAGGAATGGGCAAGTGATTAGAGCGACACAATAAGAATAATGCAGCAAAGAAGTTGAGGTGGAGGGAACAACAAATGCATTTTATACACAAAACAAAGCCACCAACCTAACAAAAAGATTACTCTTTGAGCACAATAAATGTCCACTTACTTAAATGGCACTACTAAACTAATATTGAAAAATTTTACTCGGTCTATCTGAAGGTTGCTACCTAAATGGAGACAACTATTGAAGAATGCACAAAGATAAGTTGTCAATCCATTACGTAACCTTTTCAAATTACTTACCAAGTTTACTGAATTGAGTAAAATTTGCATTAATAATTCAAAGTAGCATTTAAAACTTTTAAGAGAAAAAATATAATATATTGACATCTAGAGCTTTAGCACAAAGGAAAAGGAGCTATCATCTAATTACGAATTACGGATTATGCCAGTTTTTCTTTGAACTATCACAATCAAATGACTCTTAAAATCCCAAGCCTTCATAGCTCATTGAGATACCCAGATCAATCAGGAGTAAAGGAAAGCTCAAGAAAAGACATGAGAATCTCCCTCCAACCAAATACACCACATATTACCATAAGTGCTTTGCGTCACAATAACTTCTTCTCCCTGTCCAAAACAAACCCCGCAAAATAGATTTGTAAACAATCCACCACCATCAAAGAGCAAAACCACGGCTCTTGATGCAAGGGCAAACAGTCTCCCCCAAAGGTAACTCCCCATTAGACAATGTAGGAAACAAGTGTGCAAAAGTCACTAGCATCTCAGCACAACACACACATATTAGGTGAAAGAGCTAGCCTCGGCCTAAACCTGTTTTTTTCCTTTATATAAAATGAGTACATAGAAGTTTCAATACCTTACCTTCTTCGCTAAATGATTTAGGTAATTTTTACAACAACAACAACAAATCCTCAATAAATGATTTAGGGTCGGCTAACATGAATAATACCAATGAGAGTAAAACCATAACAAAACAAGAAGTTGCAATGCCTTACCTTCTTCGCTCGTTCCTGCCCAATGACAAACTCATCAAGCCCTCTACAAATCTCCTTAGGCGTGGGCAAACTCTTCCCCAAATTCGCCCCGCCCCGCCCGCTTCTGTCCCCAACCGCACCTCCTCCTTCCTTGGGCACTTCTCCAGGCACACTATCACATTCCACCCTAGTAGCAGCCCAAAGATTCTCCCCAGAAAGCAGCGTCGAACCCTCGGATGAAGAAGAAGGAGGAAGATCCCTGACATAAGACCTCAACTTCTGCCACATAGAAACTTTCTCATTTTCATCTTCACAATTATTATCATCATCATCATCCTTCACAAACTTCCCTTCCATCATCATACCATCCTTATCCTTATCCTTCCCTCCAACCTTTCCAATCTCAAAGAAACTCCCCTGCAATGGCGCCAACTTAAACGGCCGAAAGTAAAACGCAGTTTTGCAGTGAGCACAAATGTTCAACGCTTGATAAACACCCACTTCGTTGGGTGTGATTGACAATGGACGATTCGAGAAGAGGATATTCATTTGCTTTGAACAACGAGGGCAATTGACGACTGCCTTGATTTGGTCGTAATTGTCGGAACTTCCTTCCCATTTGAGCCGACCTTGAAACCCTAACCCTAATTTGAGAAATACTGGAAGGGGATGAGATGAAAGGAAATTGGTGGATTTAAGGGATTGGGAGTGTCGGTGATAATGGCGGAGGTGTTGTTGAGATGATGAAGGAGATGGCAGAAGAGAAGTGGAGGAGAGAGAAAATCGAAGGAGTTGTTTCAGATTTTTTCGCCGGAGAAGTTTCGACATGATGATTAATTTGTTGTCGGAAATTTCGAACTATAATTTCGAACTATAATAGCACCTGTCACGGGTCATCTCCCTTACCAACTATGGGCGTCATTTGGGTCACTACGCAACAGGCAGGGGTGTTCAAATCCGGGACCCGAATACCCGGATACCCGGATCATCGGGTAATTGATAAGTCGTCCCGTGTCCCGTCCCGGATAGTTCGGGTATCTGGATATCGGGTACCCGGATTATCCGGGACGGGACACGGGTATCCGGATTTTTTTTTATATTTTTTTAATCAACTTTTTTAAATCTAAAATCTGGTGATGCTGGTTGTTTTTATTTGTAAAAACCTGCTAAATATTATTTTTTTTACTGAATTTGCTGTGATTTATTTAAAAATAACATGCTGTATTTTTAAAAAAATAAAATAAAATTTGTTGTATTTATACTTTATATAGCATGCAATACCTTTTTAAACTAAAACAAAATTCAAGCAAGAGTTTAAGGACGGAAATACAAAGTTTTTGAGTCTTTAATTACATAACTTCAAAACATATAAAGTACAAATAATGACACAAAGCCGCACAACAAACGAAATGGGAGGGCTTCAATTCATTCACTTGTGAGATCCGATATTTTATTTGTCTCATCAATAACAATTGGCGGACGGTGGTTGTTCCAAAACCAAGTCTTTCATTCCTACAAAACACAAATAATGCAATAACATAATTACATATCACATATAGATATGAACTGGATATAATTTAAATGAAAAGAGAATGATAAAACATAAGGAAAAAAAATAGAATAATAAACTGGAAACAGGAAGTTAAAAAAAAAATCAATAATTCATGCTTATTCAGATAACTATTAAATATTTATATTGTCATAGAAATGATAGATCTATAAACATTAAACAACGTAGCCAAATTGCAGTTGAATGAAACTAGAACTTTACTCAAGAATCAGTAATCTTAATGGAAAGTTCACCAAGTTCAACCAAGAATGATAACGGACACATGTAAGTAATGCAACTCGCGGCATTTTTCATGTTCAAGAAATTACTTGCAGATTATAAACAATCAAATAAAATTATACACATAATCGAACACAAAATTATCAAATTCAAGAGAAATCAAACACAATATCCATTATTCAACCCGATTACTCAAAAATTCACATAAAGAACAAGAGAGCGGTGATACAGAGGCAGTTAATGTTTAGATCTAGCAATTGATGATAAAAAAAATAATTAGATTAATAAAAACTAAAGTAAATAACATGAAAAAAAACTACAAAAATACCACGAAAATAGTACAAATAAAACTAAACTGAGATCGACTGATGTTTGATGATGAATGTGGTTGAATTTCGAGTGAAGAATTGATTGAGATGATTTTTTGAGAGAGAGGAGATGAAGCGCAAGTAGGAGGAAAGAGAGAGGAAATCTGACTGAGTGAATGATGGTGGCTGTTTTTTTGGGATGAGAAAATCCTAGTGAACACTCAAGTGACAGTAACGCAATAATGGGTCATTTGGAGACCCAATGAAGTCCAAATGGGCCCAAATTTGGGGTTTCACCATATTTTGGGCTAAGGAAAACGATGGTGGTGTTGGTTTTCCGAGACGAGGTCCCGAAGTACAAGTTTTGGCAGCACGTAGCGCAGGAAGCTTCTAGAAGGTTCCGAAGCTATTTACGGGGTTCTTTTGAAGGAGTATTCTAGAGTGGATGACTCTAGAATAATCAAGGAAGGTCTGGTACATCTTAGAAGTCTTCTAGGTTCTTTTATGTATGTACATTTTGTGTGTAAATTTCTAGAATGTTCTAGGCTAGTCCTTAGCATTCTAGGAAGGAAGTGTGTAGAAACCTCCTTGTATGTATGTTCCTTTGGAGGTGGGAACAATCTAGAGAGTAGTAGATTGTTGTAGTCTAGAACCCTCCATTTGAGGAGGTTAGGAACGTTCTAGAGAAAGCTTGTAAGTAGGATGGAGCACTATAAATAGGCTCCAAGGCATCATTTGTACATTCAAGTTGAGAGCAATACAAAAAGCCTTTCATAAGCACTTGTGTTCTCTTTCAACTCAATATCTTTCCTTCTAACACTTAGAGAGTGTGAGGAAAACTAAGGCACGAGGGTGCCAAGTGAGTGGTCGGGCATACTAGCAAGGGTGATAGCTTGTGTGCTCAATTGCCTACGACACTTAGTCGTAAATTCCAACTAAGGCACTAAGGGTGAGTGCTTAGTTTGACTAAGGGGACTTGTTATCACCAAGGGATCGTGCTAGCAAACTTATTTGATCAGCACAAAGGGTTGTGCTACGTGGGCACAAGGAGTAGTGCCAAGGGAGAAAGCTTGACTCGTCTTACGACGGACTGTAAGCGGGTGGCGCACGGTGTGTGACTAGGGCAAAGTAGTCGACATGTGACAGGTGGTATCAGAGCAGGGTTACGGTTGTCGTGTGGGATCGACGTCGTAAATTTGGGGTGTTGATGTTCAGAGCTACGAAGGGACGATAGCTAAACAACAAAGGTGTGTCGCTTCATTCTTATTGTGTATAAGTATGGCTGGCGACAAAGAGGTTCCGGCGAGCCAAGTTGTTCAAGGGGAAGAGGAACTAACCAGGAGGTCCAAGGAGAAGAGCACGAGGGACCCTTCGAGCTAACCATCGGTGCCCAGAACCTTGTCCTCGGAGTTGGAACCCCGCCTCATGAGGGTTGAGTGTGCTGTGGCAGACATGCATGATGATATCACACAACTCTCAGACTCCGTAGAGGGGCTCGAAGTAAAAGTGGAGGCCGCACACACTGCTACCCAAGACTTGAGGGACGAGACTCTTGGGCTCGTCAATAGCGCGTTGGCAACAATTCGCGAGGAGGTCGCAAAACTTAAGGAGGAGTTGCTTGGGAAACTAAGGGACATCCAAGCCGAAGTGGAGTCGGTGAAGGAGGATGTCATTTTATGCAAGAAGACAGCAGTGACCGGGAGTGTCACTATCCATAAGGGGCCAAAGATGGAGGTCCCAAAGCCACAGAAGTACCATGGGAAGAGGGATGCTCGAGAGATCGACAACTTCTTATGGGGCGTCAAAAGGTATTTCGACGCAATGAAGCTGGATAACGATGCATCAAAGATCAACACCGCCACAATGTACTTGGGCGAGGATGCTGCCCTTTGGTGGAGGCTTCGGGAGTTGGACATTAAGAAGGGGACTTGTTCCATCAGCACATGGGATGAGTTCAAGAAAGATTTCAAGCGACAGTTCTACCCGGAGAATGCTAAGAAGGTCTCCATGATGAAGCTACGTGACTTGAAGCACACTAGCACCATCAAGGAGTACATCAGGCAATTCACATCCCTCATGCTTGAGATCGATGATCTATCGGAGGAGAACCAACTCATTTACTTCACCGGAAGTCTACAACGATGAGCTCAGCAAGAGGTGGAACGAAGGAACGTGAAGACACTTGCTGAGGCAATAGCCGTTGCGGAGTCCTTGATCGAGATATCGAGAAGGGATAGAGGAAAAAGGGTCATGGAAGGCGACCAAGATGATGAGGAGGCATCGCATCCAAAGGCCAAGCATGCGGATCATGGCAAGGACAAGGCCAAGTCCAAGTGGGAGTCCAAGGGGGACGATCGAGAAGGAGGTAAGCCCTCAAAGCCTCTCAAGTGTTACCTTTGTGAGGGACCTCATTTTTCAAGGAATTGCCCGGTTCGACAAAATGTTAACGCCATGATCGCAAGTGAGGAGGAGCTAGCTCTGGAGATGAGTATGGGGGCAATGGCCATGGGTGAGAGGGCCCATTTTTCTCGCATAAGGCTTCTCAATGATGAAGATGTGCTGAAGGGTAAGGCATCCTCAGCAAATGAAGGAACGGGCGTCAAGCAAAGGAGCAACTTGATGGTCTTAGATGAGGAAGTGAACGAGGTACCGCCAAGGCTGCTAGTGGACACGGGAGCGTCGCACAATCTCTTGGCTAAGGAGGAAGCCAAAGCCTTATGGGTGAAGTTCACAAGGGTCGATGCCGAGATGAAGGCCATCAATTCAAAGGCCACACCGGTGTATGGTAGGGCGTGGGGAGTCCCAGTCCGCTTGGGGAAGTGGAAGGGAAAGGTCGACTTCTTGGTGGTCGACATTGATGATGAGGACGTGGTGCCAGGCATGGAGTTCTTGCACAAGTTCCTACCTTTTTGAGTGAGTGATGGTATGATAACCATCACATCAAAGGGGAGCGAGATAGGGATCAAGCTCGCTCAACTCAAGGAGCGGGACGTGAGGGTCTCGGCCTTGAAAGCTTGGTGGGCGCCGAGGCATAGGCGTCAAGATGCGGTTCATGGGAGGATCAAGGCAACGAAGATGCTAGGGACAAGGCATCATGGTGTTCCAAGGGATGGGACAACAAGTCTCAAGTGTAAAGTCAATAGGAGGGACGGGGCAACAGCGCACGAAAGCATCCAAGGGTCAAGTGGTGCGCTAGACCGGGTCGCGGGCACGTACTCTAACGAGCGATCTTGCCGAGATCGGCAAGAATTTGGGTGGGGGAGAATGTCACAGGTCATCTCCCTTACCAACCATGAGCGTCATTTGGGTCACTAGGCAACAGGGCATAATCATGGCTAAGGGGCTTGCCCTTGGTGCCCAAGTAAGCACTTCCCCCTAAAGAGCTTTATTTAGCACCCTGCTTAAAATCCTAGTGAACACCCAAGTGACAATAACGCAATAATGGGTCATTTGGAGACCCAAATGAAGTCCAAATGGGCCCAAATTTGTGGGTCCACCATATTTTGGGCCAAGGAAAATGATGGTGGTGTCGGTTTTCCGAGATGAGGTCCCGAAGTACAAGTTTTGGCAGCAGGTAGCCTGAAAAACGCGGGAAACTTCTAGAAGGTCCCGAAGCCATCTACGGAGTTATTTTGAAGGAGTATTCTAGAGTGAATGACTCTAGATTAACCAAGGAAGGTATGGTACATCTTAGAAGTCTTCTAGGTTCTTCTATGTATGTATATTTTGTGTGTAAATTTCTAGAATGTTATAGGCTAGTCCTTTTCATTCTAG